TCCCAGGGTTTGCTTCCCAGGATGAAGGTTGAGGGAGGGCACTGGGCTGGAAGCATTTTTATTCCTAAGGTTCTTGGGTTCAGTGTACTGGATGTCTCCATCACAGGTTTCTACTCAGAGATCAGTCACATATATTGTAGGCTCTGAGGGTCTTGAATGTGTGTTAAGACCAAATTTCCTTAAAGGTGCAATCAAAAGACAAGATTGTCAATGAACTCAGCTATTGGTTCACTGGTCAATCACCACTTTTAAATCTTCCCGACTAACTGAAAAGCAGAGGTACTGTTGGGATGTCAGAAGAACTTTTCTACATATAAGCAAGAGTAATCCAGCCTCAAATGTCATTCCTGACAAAAATTCTTCCTGTAGCTTTTAGAGAGATGTAACAAAGACTGGTGGACTGGAAATTCTGACAAGGCTCAGAAAAGCATGCATGCCCTAATCTGGAAGCACACAGAGGGGTCCTAACTGTTTTTATGTTCTCTTCACTTGCTATCCATCAAAATCCACTCACCTGTAATATATCCTTCAATAAACTCCACTGGGATCTATGTGAATTGTGTGTTAGGTTTTGATTTCACCTTTTAATGGCATGGAAGCCATATTTACCAAACAAGCATTTAGGAAGCATCTGTTCAGAGAGGCATGAGAAGACTCACATGAACTGATGCAGAGTGAAAGAAACAGAACCAGTGACCACAAGGATATAAATGAAATGAACAACAACAATGAAACCCAACAATGTCATATAATTACAATGACCAAACAATCCCAAAGGAGAGATGAAAAAATTTACCTTCCTCTATTCTTTGAAAAGGTGAAAAAAAAAGGCAGGAAACTAGGATTATAGAATGTTATTGGACTCATCTGATATGTTAGTTTCATTCAATCACTTTTCCCCTTCTTTTTCATCCTTTGTTCTAAAGGATGGCTTTCTGGGAGAGAGCAAGTGAAAAAGGTCACAAATATTTGGACACAAAGATGATGTAAAAAGCATAAAAATGAATAAAAACTAAAAATTCAACAACAAGAAGTAAAATACTTGCTGCTGTTAGGGAATGAGTTGGAGAGCTTTATCACCTCTCCAAATCTTGGAATTAATCCTATAGACCTAGAATATTCCTTGAGGGCAATGTCTTTGTTTCCCCAGTGCCTAAGAGACTATACTGTCCACAGTAGGAACTTAGTAAATGCTTGTTGAAAAAATAAATTGGTTTATTTAGTGACTACTTAAGGAGATACTGAGATTTCCACAACTTTTAATAAATTTTTTAGGACAACTGGACAGAATATTAGAAATTTGAATTGCCCCACTATAGTCAATCAAAAAGCATTTACTAAGAATCTACTATGAGAAATGCAAATCAAAACTATGACGTACCATCTCACACCTATCAGATTGGCTAATATGATAGAAAAGGAAAATGACAAATGATGGAGGGGAGGTGGAAAAATTAGGACACTGATGCACTGTTGGCAGAGTTGTGAACTGGTCCAATCAGTCCGGATAACAATTTAGAAGTATGCCCAAAGGGCTGTAAAACTGTGCATACCTTTGACCCAGTGATACCACTACTAGGTCTGCATCTCAAAGAGATCAAAGAAAAATTAAAAGGACTTATATATACAAAAATATTTCAAGCAGCTCTTTTTGTGGTGGCAAAGAATTGGAAATTGAGAGAATGCCGATCAATTGGGGAATGGCTAAATAAGTTGTAATATATGATCATGATGGAATACTGTTGTGCTATAAGAAATGACAAGCAGGATGATTTCAGAAAAACCTGGGAAGATTTAAATTAACTGATGCAAAGTGAAATAAGCAGAACCAGGAGAACATCATATACAGTAACGGTAATACTGTACGATGATGAACTGTGATTGACTTAATTATTCTAATACAATGATCCAAGACAATTCTGAAGGATTTGTGATGAAAAATGTTATCCATCTCCAGAAAGAATTCTGAGTGCTAATTGAAGCAGAATTTATTCACTCTTTATTTTTCTTGCTTTACTTTTCTGCAACATGTTAATATGGACATATGATTTGCATGATTTCACATGTGTAATTACTATCACATTTCTTGCCTTCTCAGTGGGTGGGGGAGGAACAGGAGAAACGGAAAAAATTCAGAACTGAAATTTTTTAAAATGAAGTTTTAAAAAATTATCACATACACAAAAAGACCCCACACACACACCCCAAGAAAGAACTTACTATGTGCCAGGCACTGGGGATGCAAACACAAAAACAGTCCTTGACCTCAAGGAGCTTACAGGTCAAATTAAATTAATTGGATTGCCAGTAAACTTAATTATGTTCATTGGGGTCTAAGAGGCATGATTTTTTGCAGCTCACACTAGCATTTTCTTGAGGAAAAGAGGCATTCATGGAAGCTCTTAGAATTGAGGGTAAATTCAAGGTCCATAACTTCACCTGGTACCTTGGACCCAGAGGGACCCAGCCCTGAACCTTTCAGGCTTTGCTGATCCAAAGTCCAGTTTTTGGAGATTTAAACTCTCCCGGAAAACTTATACAACGTTCTCAAGACTGTGACTTGAGACACCTCATCATCTCCACCCTAGTCTGAGGCACCTCACCTCACCTCTCCTGGTCCCTGAGCATTTCTCCCTGAGTTCAGAGATCTCCTATACCAGAACACTACCGTAACCCTAAATGCCTCTGACTCTATTATCTAACTAACTGCTATTATGTTAACTGACTTCCCTGTTCTGTAATCAACTCCTATTTTTTTCTTCTTCTTACCCCTTACAATCACATTCTAAACCAAAATAGCACATTTGTTTTCTAGTGTTTATTTACAAAAAGAGAGAGAACATTGGAATTTTCATTACCTTATGAAGAGGCAGCTAGCAACATAGGGGATGGAGAAGTGCTCCTGGCGTCAAGAAAACCTGAGTTCAAATGCTGCCTCTGATATTTACTGGATCCAAGAGCCTGGGAAAAATTACTTAACCTCTCTATGTGCCTCAGCCAACTCCTTTGGACTTATCTATGAAGTCTTCAGTAAGGTGGAGGGCATGCCCCAGACTTCTTAGTCTGCAAGCTGGTACACAATTTTGGAATTTCAGAATGAGGTGGGGTCTTGAGAAAGCCACTGGGCTCACAAAATAAGAGCTAAACATTCATATTTCACATCGAGGTTCACAAATGATCTCACATGAGGAAAATAAGGCTCAGTAGTTTAAGTGACTTCTATATGAATCATCTGAGGTGACATTTGAACTCAGATCTTTTTTTTTTTTTTTCCAGAGGCAACTGGGGTTAATTGGGGTTAAGCCCAGGGTCACACAGCTAGTGTCTGAGGCTAGATTTGAACTCAGGTCCTCCTGACTCCAGGGCCAGTGCTCTATCCAGGGCCGCCTAGCTGCTCCTCTCTCTTAAGTCCAGAATTCTTTCCGCTATATTACAGTGACTACCAAATAGTGAGTAGAACAAGTTTCTGGCTTTTACTGGGGAAAGCATGAAGCTCAGTCATCAGTTGTAATGACGGTCCAACTCTACATATCTATCCTACCTCAATCCTTTTAATGTGAGGGAGAGAGGCTGATGATGTCATGAGCGGTTACTCATATTTATGGGTGAGTGACTGTAAAGCTCCCACAACCCAGCTGACCCCCTCAAACCACCATCACCACCTCATGTGGGAGTCATTCACATTCAATGAGTCTCTCTGAAAGCCAGCTTTTAAAAACCAACATTCTTCCAGGGATGCTAAAAAGCAGTGAATCATGGAGTGCCACAGCCACCCAAGAATCCAATTTGTGAGTCATCCAAAGGGCAACGGTGAGACATTACGCCGGGTATGAAGAAGTCGCAACTTATTATTACCCAACGTAAATTCTGAGCAAGAAGTAGTGTAGCAATACAGAAATTCACTCCTGGGTGAACGAGGCACAGCTAAAGGATGGCACACGTGCTGAAATGCCACCTGAGTGATACTAAGAATTTAGGAAAGCCCCAGACATATGGTGGAGGCTGTGTGGAAGGACACCGGCAAGTCACACAGGGTGAGTGGAAGATACCTGACAATACACACCAAAGGAGACACTGTCTCTGTGCCTGGGTCAGGCAGAACACACACCCACGGAAGGAGGCATTAGAGTATACTTTTTACATACACTGCCTCAAACCCAAGGCCATGACTATCCCGTCATAGGGTTGAAATGGATTCTTATGCCCACTTTATAGATGAGGGAACTGAGGCCCAGAAAGGTCAAGTGATTTTTCCTAAGGTCACAGAGCTAGTTTAGTTCCTGGGCTGAGACCTGAACCCGAGTCTTCTGACTTTCAGCTCTATGGTTATTCTCCCATACCGCAGGCAGGGAGAAAACAATGGACTCCGGAACACCAGAACTCCAGAAGTTCTTGTAACACATTTGGGTTTCATCCCTATTTGACCCAGGTGAGTGCTGTAGGACAGAGCTGTCAGACTCAGATGGAGCCTGAGTCACTAAATCATATATTAGGATTGCTGCAGGTTCCATATTGACTAAGTTCATAAATGTAATATTATCTTTTATTGAATTTTTATTTTGTTAAATATCTCCCAGTTATATTTTTATGTGGTTTAGATCACACTCAGGACTGTGCTGCATGTGCCATGTTCAACTCCTCTGTTGTGAGAAGCCCGGTTATCCACTAGCTAGCCTTCCCAGGTCTTTTCTTAAGGAGATTGTCTCCCCTGCCACCCCTGCGCCCCAGAGGGTTTCCCTTGTACGGGCCAAGTCCCTCCACCCACACAACAGGCCACCTACATCATCCTCCAGTCTACACTGGAGAACCACAGAATGAGAGCCTCTGGTCTCACACTTTCTCCATCAGCCCATAGTGGGTGTGGCAGATCCACAGAGCATCAAGAGCCTAGCTGGGATGGGTTCAGAATGAAGGCAGGTCTGGGGATTGATGGCATAGAGGGCTTGTGCCAAGTTCTCCCTACGGCCAGGAGGCAAAGAAACCACACTGACACCCCTCAGTAACGTAAAATAGAAACTAACTTTATTTCTCTGGAAGAAGCAGATGTGTGGAGGCAGGACGAGAGCAGCAACTTTGGCAACAGAGGTTGTTGGGGAAAAACACAAAACAGCAGTTGGCCGGGGTGGGAGCACTGGTCTCCACGTTAGCTGCCGGTATCTGTTCCCTTCTGCACATCCTGGGGTTCTATCCCCGCCCTGTGGGCTTGCATCCTCCCTGCCTCCAACATCCTGAAATTCTCGACCTTGGGTGACAGTCCCCCCCCCAGTTACCTCAAACCAGGAACAGCATCTACTGTGACCTGTACCCCGAGCACTCTCTCCCCCATTAACAGTCATGCCCATCTCATGGCACCAGGCCTGCTGGGAGCTAGCAGGCTCCACCGAGATGAGCAAAGCATTGGGGTCTCCCTCCTGCCCTCACTGACACCTTCCTTCAGCTTCCGTAGGAATGGGAAATGCCACAGACACAAGCAGACAGGCTCGTTTTCCCTACAATCTGGTCCCTAAAGGGAAGTGAGGCATCACAGCGGATGGAGACTGCAAGGGCTAGAAGAGGGGGCATTCGCGCCTGGAACTGTCGCTAGCCCTCCCTCAGCCCAGCTCTAAATGCCTCCTCACCCCCTTCCTGATGCGCCCTCTCCGTTGTCCCTCTGGAGTGGCCATGGGAGGGGCAGATGGATGGAAGACTAGAGCGAGCACTGTGGAAGGGTGGTCCCATCCAAGTCTCCTGCTCCTTCTGGTTCCTCTTTGCCTATCTGAAGAAGTGGGGTGATGGGGGGAGAAGGGAGCAGCAGCAGGTTTCCCCAGGCCCCTCCCTGGCCCCTGCCATGCAGGACAGGCTCAAACGATCCTTCGGGCAGACTAACAGGACCCCCCCTTAAGTCAGACTCTCCGGCTCCCCAGACCTGCCATCAGCGCCTGCAAGAAGAGAGGGGGTTGCATGCTTGGGAGAGATCGCTGCTGAGCAGCTACATTATATTCAGGGTCCACCTTTCCCCTGTCCCACGACCCCCATTCCCACGACTTCTCTGTGAGACTCGCCACCTCAGTCTCAGCTTTGGGGACTGGTTGGCTGCCTGCAGTTTTCTTGACCTTGGGGAGGGGGGCTCTTGGCTATGGAATATTTAGCCTTTGGGAAATGCTGGGTCCCTGGACCTAAAGGACCCAGCTCCCTCGGGTCCACCTGGCTGGGTGGAGAAGACAGGAAGAACTGGGGTAGACCAGGATCGAAACACATACTTATGGTGGGTGGGACCACAGGAATCTAGCAGGTGGCAGCCAGCCTGCTCCAGGTTCCAATCAAACATCTCCAACACCTTATGGCACTCCTGCCTTGGCCGCAGACCCAGGCCAAAGAGCTGTTCCACCTGTTGGGAGGGTGAGGAGCAAAAACGGCATTGACAAGTACCAGGGGACACACGGTTAGACTAAGGCATAAGGGGCATCAGATAAGTCGGAGGAGCAGAGGAGAGCTCAGGAGTCAGGTGGTGCTGAGCCAGCTTCCCAAGGCTCTGGGGAGGTGAGGGGGCAAGGAAAGGTACCTTCAGATACTGAACAGCCCTCGGAACGCTCCAGCTGTGATTCTGCAAGGCCGCCTGGCACTCCTCTGTGGTCACCCCATGCACCATGGCCTGGACCTGGGCACACCCCCACCACTCTCTGTCAGGACTGCTCATGGGGCTGGGCACCAAGTTCAGGGGTCCCCTGCACCATGCACTCCTTTTCAGAACCCTGCTGAAAGGCCAGAACCCCAGAGGCCCCACTCCCCTGATGTCCCCCCACCCGGACAATCTCGTTCCCAGGACTCACCATCTGTATCTTGTCTGTGGGCCGCCCAGCCTCCAGCCCATCCCCTGGGCAGCCCCTCACCAGGCGGGTGGGAGCCCTCAAGGATGGGGCGCGGACACCTGTGTTGCTATTGTTGGCTGAGAAGTTGGCCTTAGGGTCAAGAGTGGCCTGGGGCATGGGCCTCACAGTGGCAGTGGGGGCAGTAGGGGCTGGTGTGCTGGGGGGTGGCAGCAGCAGAGGGACGGGGATGGAAGGAGGTTCCTCCTCAGGGCTCCGGGCCTCCTGCAAGAACCGCTGGTATCTTTCCAGGTAGGGGGGCCGCTCCGGAAGCAGATAGTAATGCGTGTTGCTGATCTTCTTGCCATCTCGGACAATTGGTAGGATGCAAGGCCCTGTCCGCGGGCCAGGGGCCTGGATCACCTGGGGTGTGGCATATTTGGGGTCAGAGCCAAAGCTCTGGGTGGTGGGCATGGCCTTCCCAGGGGAGCTGGAAAGGCGAGGAGTCAAGGGAGACCCACCAGACAGTGCCAAAGGACTGGGGGTACGGGAGCCCTGGGGGGAGAATGGCTCCCTTGGGGGGACTTGCGGGGGAGGGGCTGCCCCCCGCCACCGTCCTTGCTCCTCTTCACCCCCTGAAGCTGGCGACAGTTCCCCCGAGCGGCAGCCCAGCTCACTTCGCTGTCGGGTGGGTCGAGGTGGGATTGGCACCCTGGGGGGCACCTGGGGTTTGTCTTCTCCACCCAGGCCAGGGCTAGGAGAGGAGGCCAGAGAGGCTGATGGGACCTGCAGCTGCCTCATGCACTCCTGCTGCAAAGCCTGGAAGATTTCTGCAGTCTGGAGGGAGTTAGGGGGTTTGCTCCTCCCTTGGGGGGGGAGGAACAAATTGTCTTCCAGTGGTGGTGGGGGCCGTCCAGCCTCAGGCACAAAGGCATAGTTAGTCTCCCCGTGGGGAGGCCCCTCGGGGGTTCTGGCACCGACCAGGGCACTGTTGATAGAGCAGACCTCGAAATCATCTTCATCCTGGGCCACATCGTCATAGGCTGGCGGTGGCGGCAGTGGCCGGGTATCCCAATCAACCACAGGGGTGGGGTGTAAGGGCCTTGGAAGTGCCCGGGTGGGGCTCTGTGGGGGTGTTTTGTCCAACAGCGAGCAGGCATCCATTGCCAGCTGAGCCAGGGAGGGGGCACTGGGCTTTTGGGAAGGATTGGACAGGGGAGGTGCTGTGAGTTCGTCACCAAAGTCAATGAGAGACACTTCACCCCCACCCCGGCTTGTCTTGGTGCCCGGCACTCGGGCTGAGGGCTTCACCAGCCACAGACCCCTGGGCAGGCCTGGCTTCCTAAGACAGAGACGCTTGAAGTCTGCAGACAGGGGGTCCTGATCATCACTGACGGGGTCATAAGTAGGCTCTGTGGGACAGAGGAGAGGAAAGAATTCCCAAGAAAGTGGTGTCAGAGATTAGCTCTGACACCTTACCTCTCAGGGTAAAGAGAGGAAAACACAAGCTGCCTCCCTCTACCCCAAGTGGCAATATTAACCCTGTCTTTACCACCACTGAGAATCTAATCCATCCCACCCAACCTTTGCCCCCTGCCTTGATCAAGCAAGTATGGTCATAGTGATCCATTAAGGAGGTAGCAGAGCTGGGGCCCCCAGCCCACCCTCACCTTCACCTCTGCCACTTCTGACAGCATCCTAACCCCAATACTGCCCCTTGACATTTCCTCTGCCAATATTAAGCCTTTGAAAATCTCTCCCTAGAGCTATGGTTAGCAGTACCCCAAAGTCCACTGCCCATTTTCCTACCAGACCCATCTCCTGGACCACCCAAACACCACACACGAGTTAGTGCAAGATGGGGAAGGGGAATCAGTATGGTAGGGGGCTTTACAAAGGAAATGGGAGCAGAAGAAAACAGCATCCCTACTCTCAGGCTGAACTTCATTCATGAGAACAGACTGAGTCTTTGGCATCTCAAGCCTTGGGTCTGGGGAGTCTGGCTGGGGGGGTGGGGGGCACAGCTCCATTTCCTTGGGAGGAAGCTGGTATTTGGCCAATGGGGAGCTACAAGCACCACGCATCTGAAGAGGCCAAGTCATGCTAGGGGCTGGCAGCAGCAAGCTCACAGCACACTCCCTCCTCCCCTTACCCCCCTTCAGCCCCCTGCTGTGTACCTTCAAGGAGGAGAGGAGTTATGAAAGAACAGAGGGGACAGGGGCAGGGCCCAGGGCATCGAGAAGGAGAACGGCCCCACTTACTCTGAGTGAAGATGGTGGGCTGAGGCGGGCGAGGCGGAGGCTCCCCTGGAAGAGAGGCCATGGGGAGGGGGCAGAGGCAGAAGATGGGAGAAGGAAGAAAAGAAGGTGAGAAAGAAGAGAGAGACATTGAGAGGAAAGGAGAATGGAAGGGAGGGGGGAAAGGAGGAAAGGGAGAAGAGATGGGGAAGAGGAGAGGGGAAGAAGGGAGAGGAGAAAAAAAGAGATAGGGATAAGGAAGGGGGACAGGAGAGGAAAAGGAGAAAGAGGAGCAGAGGGAGAGAGGGGGGAAAGATGACCGAGGAAGGGACAGAAAAGAGGGGAGAGAGGAAGGAAGAAAGGAGAGGAAGGAGAGAAGGGAAAAGAGGCAGGGGCAGAGATGGGGAAAGGAAATAGAGGAAGAGGGAAAGAAGAGGGGAGGAAAGAGAGGAAGGAGGAAGGCAGGAAGGAGAGAAGGGAGGAAGGAGGGGAGAAGAGAGGAAGGCAGGAAGGACAGGATGGGGAAAGAAGGAAGGAGAGGAAGGGAGAAGGGAGGAAGGGAAGAAAGAGGGGAAAAGGGAAGGGAAGGAAGAAAGGGGAGGAGAGTGAGGGGGAGAAAAGTGAAAGGAGAGAGAGTGGAAATGGGGTAGAGATGGGGAGAAAGGGAAAAAAGAAGGGAAGGGGAAGAAATGGAGGAGAGAAAGTGAAACAGAAAGAAAGGTGGAGATAAAGGGAGAGGAGGAAGAAGGTGAGCAGGAAATGAGATCAGTTAATGCGCATCTGAAAAGGCAAAGGGAGGGAAGCTAGGTGGGCAGAGTAGGAGAAAACTAAGCTTAAGGATGGAGGGGCAAGGACGGGGAGATGAGCAGGAGGAGCCCTAGGCAGGCTGGTGGTAAGCCGGTGAGGGGAGGAGGGGCACATAGCGTGGGGGAGGGGCTGGCAGCAAGTCCGGGGCTAATCCAGGGCCATGTCCAAATGATGCCCACCACTGGCGGATACGACAGGAGCCAATACCAGGTGCCCCTCGTGTTCCACCCCACTTGCAGTTGGGGGGATCAGGGACAAAGCTAACCCACCTGCTGCTCTCACCCCAACCCTAAGCCAAGCAGACCAGCATGGAGGCATCCTTAGGAAGGGGCTGCCCACTCCTTCCTATCCGAAAGCCAGGGCTCCAGGGGATGAAATGGGGGGGGTGCTCCTGGGGAGGAGCCAACTCTTACTTTTTACCCTTCCTAGGAGCTGGGTGGGGCGGGAGGTGCTCAGCTCCACTGCTAGCAGGTCAGGAGGATCCATAGGGTTTCCCAAATAGAGTCTGTAGAGAAAACCAGAGCAGTGTGCTGATGGGGAAGAGGTAGCCCCCGGGAAGACCGGCTTCTCATTCTTTCTGTGATGAGACCGAGGTACAGATAGAAACACTAAGGAGGGACCAGGTGAGGCAGCAGACAAAGTACTCAGGCTAAAAGGGACTGGGGCCCAGAAAGACCTGGGCAATGGGCATGATAGTATCTCCCCCCCCATCCCAGGAAAACTGGGGTTCTTAACCTTTTTTGTGTGTCTGGGACACCTCTGGCAATCTGGCCAATCAGCCTATGGACCCCTACTCAGAATCATGTTTTCAAAAGTATAAAATACATAGGACTACAAAAGAAACCAATTCTACTAAAATACACTTTAGTCAAAATACTGAAAAAGGAAAAAAAAAAAGTTCATGAACCCAGGTTAAGGAATTTTACAGTAAAAGAGGGACATGGTTTCTGGCATTGGGTCCATCACCAACTATGTGATCTTTGACAAGTTACCTTTCTTCTCTGGGCCTTGACCTCAACATCTGTAAAAGGGGGCTATACTGGACAATTTCGAAGGTCTCTCTCCCTTCTCTGACAAGCTAAGATTCCATGACTAATGCTAAGAGATAGGAGCGGGAACAGGGAGGCAAGGGGCCAGCTTCCCTTCTCCCCTGCCCCTACTTCAACCTCAATCCCCGCCTGTCAGTATCTGGGCCTTAGTCACTAAGGCTGATTAATGCCCTAAGGAATGGGGCTGGGTCCACCCCGTCATGCCACGCCACATGAGGCATAGGGCAGAGGGCACGAGTGCAGCAGGGGGATGACTCCCCCTCTTTTCAGGACTTTCCCAGTCCTTGCTACCCCATACCCCATGTTCTACAGAGAACAGGGTATGTACATGTGAGCCACAGCTCACCGAGTCTTGGGGACTAACCTCATAGAGGTCAGCAGCCGAAAGGGACTCAGAAATATAGCATCCTAGGATCCTGAAGCCAGAGTAGTACGGTGGAAAGGTGGCTGGGTTTGGACTCAGAGAGACTGGGTTCAAATTCCAGCTCTTTTACTGTGTGAACCTCAGCAAGTCACTTAATTTCTCTTAGAGTTAATTTCTTACAGTTCTCTTGCGTAAAAAGAGGCAGTGGATGACCCAAGAGGGAGTCAGAGGAGCCTGAGACGCAACCCGGATCATGAGCACCTTGGATGGTTCTGACACATCACCCAGGATGTGGTTAATATTTGTCTCTCTTCCCTCATTCCTGCATCCCCATGTACATCCAGACTGACAAAGGTCCTTCTATGAACTCAGAGTATTCTAGTGCTCCACAAGTCTGCCCCCTGGAAGCCTAAGTATGGGGGACTGCCTCTTCAGGGCTTCTACTCTCTGGGGTTGAGCAGCATCAAAAGGAAATGAAATGCTAAGGAAAGAAGGGGACAGAGCCTTTGTGGGGCAGGGGAAGGCAGACCTCTCAATGGCTCCACTCTTCCACCATGACTGCTTGCCTTCAGTAAACTATAGCCTGCAAGTTCTCTTGACATCCCGCCCCCTGACCCCAAATCCCTACTGTGATCTGTCTCTCCTTCTCTAGACTTACTGGAGGGGCTTCCAGTGCCCTTCTCCTTTTCTGAGCACTGGAAACTGGATGGGGAAGGGAAAAGAAAGAGATGAGTAAATTGCTGACAGAAAAGGGGACCCAGGGTCAAGAACTGGAGGAAAAAGAGAGATGAATAAGAGGGTGACAGAAGACGGGACCCAGGGTCAAGAACCGGGGGAAAGAATGGGGAAGGGGGGCAAAGAGAGAAATGAGTAATAGGGTGAGAGAGGAGGGGACCCAGGGTCAAGAACTGGGGGAAAGACAATGGAGAAGAGGAAGAAAACATGGACACACATTCAGGAAGAGAATAAAACAGAATCCTAGAGGAGGGGTATATTAGGGATTGGTCTTTAACAGACCTAATCACAGAAAAAGAACCAGATAAGGAAGCATTCTACTAACTATAAAATGCAGGTGAATCACACTCCCTCTCCCTCCCAGGCAGAAGGGCTGAGGGTGAGGGGCAGGTCCCATCCTGGACTGGCACTTACTCATCGATCTTGTCCGGGAATCCCCAGCAGTGTCGGGGGTCACTGTCGCCATGGCCCGTGTGGATGAAGCTGTTCTGGAGCGGCTGGCTGATGTCGTGGGCTGACAGCCCAGCCACAGAGGTCACTGCGTTTCTCGGGAAGGGCCCCACACACAGCGTCCTTGTATTCTGCCCACGCCACCAGTAATTCTCCGCCCTGTCAAGCCCAAAGGGACATGGTAAAGACCAAGAGGTAGCAGGGACAATTGGACAGTTCTGGCTACGTCCATCTCAGCTCTGCCCCAAGAACGGGACCAAGTTCAAGGGGAATGCACCAGGTATATGTGAGAATTCATTCGGCCATTGAAAGGGCACTGCTGACCAACTCACCATGTGTGCCACAGGGCGCAGAAGGAAAGCCAAGACACATAAATCCTTCACCCTGCCAACTTCTCAGAACAGGTGTGGCCTATTGTGACCACCCAATCTTATTCTGTACCCCGGGACATAAAAAAAACTGCTAGGGAATTTTTTTTCTGAGCTGAAGCCAAAGAGGAAGAACTTGAATAAAGAAAGGTTCCCTATACCTCCTGGGCACTACTCCCACTCCCCCGTCCCCTGTCAACTCCAAGCAACAGATGGTACATTTCCTCCCTAGAAGCTCCTGCAATATCCAACAATTATTACAGTTCTACTCTTAGGGGATCAGGCAGAGAAGAAGGTTCAGAACTCAGACTCACAGAACCTCAGAGTGGGATGAGACCTTACAGGTTGCCCTTGACAGAAGAGCCAGAAGAAAACTTAGATAGAACATAATCAAATTACCTCATTTTACAAATGAGGAAACTGAGACCTGGTAAAGTTTATTGACTTGCCCAAGATCACAGAGCTGGCTAAGTGGCAGAGCTGGGATTCAAACCCAATTCTTTTTGATTCCAAATCTAGTGTTCTTCCTGCCTGATGGCCCAATGGACAGAGCACTGGGCCTGGAGTTAGGAAGACCTGAGTGCTAATCCAGCCTCAGACAATTTACTAGCTTCATGGCCCTGAGCAGGTCACTTCACCGCTGTCTGTCTCAGTTTCCTCAGCTGTAAAATGGGGATAATGACAGCACCTACTTTCCAGAGTTGTGAGGATCAAATGTTATCACATTTGTAAAGCATTTAGGACAGTACGTGGCACATGTTGTTTTTCAGTCATTTCAGACTCTTTGCGTCCCCATATGGGGTTTTCTTGGCAAAGACACTGGAGTGGTTTGCCATTTCCTTCTTCAGCTCATTTTTACAAATGAGGAAACTGAGGCAAACAGGGTTAAGTGACTTGCCCAGGGTCACACAGCTAGTGTCTGATTTGAACTCAGGTCTTCCTGACTCCAGGCCCAGAGCTCTACCCACTGTGCCAACTAGCTGCCCATATGGCATAAAGTAGGTACTTAATAAATACTTGCTTTTTTTACTTTTTTATTTTTCCTCCACTACACCATATGAGACTAACCTCCCATCCAACAGAGGAACCCCTTATACAAGGGATTATAACATCCCTGACAAGTAGTCATCCAGTCTCTGCCTGAATACCTCCAACGACAGAGAGCTCATTACTTTATATGGAATGGTACGCGATGCCACTCTTGGTGAACCAATCTGAGTTTTAGAAAAGAAGTTTAGAAACTTTTAGAAAGTTCTTTATATTGAGCAAAAAGCTTTAATGTCCTGCAATATCCAACAATTATTACCGTTCTACTCTTAGGGGAACTAGCAAAACAAACCTAACTCCCTGCCTTCCCCAGACAACCTTCAAATATGTGCGGACAGCTATCATGCCCACAATCCTCCGTCTCCTCTTCACCTGGCTAAACATCCCCAGCTGCTTCACCCAATCATCATATGACATCATTTCCAGAACATCCCCCTCCCCCTGTATCCTGATCCCCCTACTCTGACAAATTTAAAACACAGTGAAAAGATCTGGTACAATATTCCAGATTAGAGAAGTCAGACCACAGTAAAATTTAGCAAAACTATCCCCTCTGTTTTGTTGAGGCTACTCTATGAATACAGCCTGATTCGGGTGGTGGTGAAACAAGAAATGTGTCTTCCTTGATACTTCACATCCCATGAAGGAACAAGGATTGTCCAAGATATAGGAATCCTCTACATCAGGGGTTCTTAATTTTTTTTGTTTCATAGACCCCTTTGGCAGTCTGACCAATCAGCCTACAGAATCACCCCTTCTCAAAATCATGTTTTTAAATGCATAAAATAAAATGTTACATTAAAATATGTAAATATATAATTTATTATCAAGGAAAACCAATTACACTGAAATATCGTTATCAAGGGCAGCTAGGTGTTGTAATAGATAGAGCACCAGGTCTGAAGTCAGAAAGACTCATTTTCCTGAGTTCAAATCTAGCCTCAAACACTTACTAGCTGTGTGACCCTGGGCAAGCCACTTAACCCCGTTTGCCTCAGTTTCCTCAATCTGTAAAGTGAGTGGGAGAAGGAAATGGCAAACCACTCCAGTATCTTTGCCAAGAAAACCCCAAATGGAATCATGAAGAGTCAAATACGATTGAAATGACTCAACAACACAGTCACCAAAAACAACAACAAAAGAAGTTCAAAGACTCCAGGTTCAGAACCGCTGCTCTAAACCCAGAGCAGTACAGTGAAGAGAGTATTCTGCTTAGAGTCGGGTTCAAATTCTACCCAATATATACTAGCTCTGTGACCTTAGGCAAGACATTTATTTAATCTCTCAATGCTTCTGACAACTCCCTAGGATTTCTCTACTAAGTCACAGATATTGAATGTAGGTAACTCTGTCCACCAATGCAGAGTATCCTACCACTACTACTTGACCCGGTGACCATAAGCCCTAAGAAGAGACAGGGGACTCTGGCAGCTGGGTGGCCATGAGGACCCACAGCTTTCAGATGCGGCACATGGTCAATTCAACCATCTAATTATTGTCTAATTTGTTTAGAGCACCTGCGGAGAAAGATACAAAGTTTAGACAAGACATGGTTCTTGTTATCATAGAATGATGGTCATGTGTGGTATGTGTGTGTGTGTGTGTGTGAGAGAGAGAGAGAGAAAGAGAGAGAGAAAGAGAGAGAGAGAGAGAGAGAGAGAGAGAGAGAGAGAGAGAGGGAGGGAGGGGAGGGGAAGGGGAGAGACAGGGAGAGAGAGAAGAGAAGAGAAGAGAAGAGAGAAGAGGAAAAGGGGAAGGGGGATCAAGAAATAGGAGACATACTACCAATAAGCCACGACCATTTTGCCACCTCTTTTCTATATAGTAAATATTATAGAATGGACAGCTGAAAGAGACATCAAGAGGTCATGTGACCCCCATTTTATAAATGAGGCAACTGAAATCCAAAGAGAAGTGACTTGCTCAAGGTCACACAGCTAGAGAATTAAACTGAAGCTTTCCTGAATAGAAGCCCAGGGCAGTAGGTGGAGAAGGGCACCTGAGGACCTGTCTTAATGATAAGGAAGAGACTGGTAATGGCAGGAGGGGGATCATTAAGCCCCTACTATGTGCCATGCACTCTAAGCACTTCTACAATATCTCATTTGATCCTTAAACAACCCTATGAGATAGGTGCTATTATCATCCCCATTTTAAAATTGAGGAAACTCAGGAAGTCAGAATCTAAGTGACTTCCCCAGGCCTGAAGCTGGATTTAAACTTAAATCAGACCTCTCTATGTACTGCACCATCTAGCTAAACCTATCACCTACAGATTTCTCCAAGCAAAAGTAACCATTGAAGTTGGATGCCAACCTGTGTGTATTCATATAGTGTATGTGTATTTAAATCTGTGTGTATATGTAACTATGTGCATGTGTGTGTGTGTATATATACACATACACATACATATATACACACATACACACATACACACACACACTTTTTTTGAAATTTGGAGAAGAAACCAAGGACTTGATAAATTCTTACCCTGGCTCTCCAAGCTGGGGTCTAGTGGTGAGCAATCAAAACAATGCCAACACCTGCATTACTTTGGGAACATCACCTAACTTCCCTGGGCTCTTTTTTTCACATCTGCAAAAATGCTGGGATTGGAGTAGACAAAGTCTAAGTTCCCTACAGCCTCTAAATCCTTTATACAAAACCTCCCCAACACTTCACAGACATCCACAGGATCAGAAGACTCAGAGCTATAAGAAGCCTTAAATCATCTAGCTCAACACCCCACCTCCCTCCTATTTTAAAAATGAGGAAACTGAATCTCAAAGTAGTGAAATGATTTGTCTAAGAACACATAGGCGGCAAGTGTTGGTGGTAGAATGTAAATCCAGGTGTTCTGACTCTAAATACCTGTCAAATGAATGTCCACATAGCCACGGAAGGATTACTTCCATAAAAGACTTATTCCCTAAAGAATAAAATGAAGTCCAGAAACACGATTACAGCCCAAGAGCAGCACTCCAGAACCAGCCCAAATAGTACTACAGTAGAGAGAATTTACATCTGCTACATAGACAATTTTATAAAGATCTTCTGAATACATTTGCTTCACTTGATATTCAATGCCTTTATGAGTCAGTAGGGTAGCTATTATCTCTCCCTCCCCCTTCCTCCTATTCTAAAGATGAAGAAACTGAGATTCAGGCTAAGTAACTTGTCCAAGGGCATCCTGAGTTATAAGCAACAGAACTGCAGCCCAGACATTCTCTTTCCATCACACAAGAAATAAGCGAGCCTCTCCAGGCCATCCTGAGGCCCTAGACATCACCACCCTATGATTAACATGCCAGTCCTCAGGGTGGGAGAACGAGAAAGGGCAAAGGAAGAGGACAACACCCCCACCATCCCAAAATAAACAGCTTCCCATAGGCAGGAGAGAGACCACCCCGTAGTTTTCCAGGGCCAGAGGACTGCCACATGAAAACCAAGGGTGAGGCACGATCGTTTCTGAGAAGTCCACAGACTTCCTTTTGTCTTTTCCATGCCACCCCCCCCCAATTATCCATCCTCTGCCACCCCCTTGGGACCGAGTCCTCACTTATTTGTCCCCACCCCCACCCCTGGGGCCCATTTCTCCTCATCTCTATCCAGGTCAATGAGTCACCTGGAAGTTGGACCCTGCTGTCTATACCACCTTAAAGTTATTCATTAACACATGTGAGAAATGGAAGGAAGCCAGAAAAAAAAAAAAAAACTTTGTGGAGTTTTTTGAGGAGTGAGGGG